CGAAGACAAAAGACCGGGAGGGTCTAGGTTAAGCGAGTATGGGTCGAAATGGTCTGCCCACTGCGTAACTGATCAGATTTAGCAATAAAGGATCGCACGAGTATCGGCGCAGTTGGCAACCCCACTGTACTTTATAGAGCGGTAAGGCATACGTAGCCACGTTATCTTCAACAGGCGTTATTTTTCTTCGAGGACAACACCCACGAACAAAGACGTGTCTAATCCATCACGCTTGAAAAAGTGATGCAAAAAATCATAAGCAGTGGCTATTGAGCACAGGATGTGAATCGCTATAGATTGTGTACAAACTGTCCTTGTAAAAGGGAATGGTTCTAGCGATAAGAAACTGATATCAATTAATGGCATGCGTCGTAGTGTTCTCCACGGGGGCAGAAGGGGGGGGGGGGTCAAAGTGGGCAAAGTTTTACGAGAGAACTTCCGCCTCTTCGCCATCCAATAAGGCCCCCTATAGGACCAACACTCAGTGAAAAGACCAGGAAAAGACAAGGGGGAGGGGCGCAAGACTTTGGCATTAAAACTGAACTGCAGACCAAGTGAGCCGTTTGTATGTTCCGGCTATTAAGGCGAAAGCCGTTAATGCCTCACACTCGCGTTCTTCCGTCCTTCCATCCGTGCTCTGGAGCTGTGCGAGTTGAGGCCTCTCCCCCTTACACTCTCTCATAAATCACGTAAATGCTGCGACAGCGTAAAAAAAAAAAAGACATGGCATTGTCTGTCCAATGGCCACAGGCTTTCGCTGAACACATTTCGGAGTTTACGAAGTGTCCTTCATTGTTTGTAATGAGCGCTCACATCGAATTCGAGTGCCAAGACTCATATATCTTTAAGCTTTCTATATTACGTTAACACGGGAAGTTTATGGTAAGTTTAGCGCGCCTCTTGAGCGTACAGGAAAACAATAAACAGCCAATAATAAACGCGATGCCGTGTACCTCGACATATGCCGGCCATCCCAACATGTCCGAAAATAAACCGTGTTTTGAATGTAGCCGCTTGTACGCAACAACGGCCTTCAAGAGTGGGCTTTCTGGTAGACTGTGGCTGCCATGGTTGCCAAAATGCGTGCGCCGCCTTTAAGCCGAAGTCCGACAAGCCCGAGGGATCCGTCAGCTGAAGACAAGACAGGAAGCGGCTGAGACAAAGAAGTTGAAGATACGGAAAAAGTGGCCCGTGTCTTCGGGGGCCATCTGCCTGGTACGGATGTCCGCGAACGCGGGTCACTTTAGATAGCGTAAAAAGCGCGATTTCCGGTAGTCCACGGAACAGGATGCGATATCTACAGTACGATGACACGGACGGCATCGTGTTAGCCGCAAATAGTGCGGTATAAATCTCTTCCACTGACGTACCTGCTTCGGGGGCGGGGGGTCGATGTCATTCACCGTACTTGGATTTTTTTTATTTACATGCGTATACGCACACACGCACATTTACAAACAGGCACACGAACGTACACAAACGATTGTTGAATCTTCTCCCAAGAAAAAAATAGAATGTTGGTTCGTTGCTGATCTGTTCCAAAAGCATGCTTCGTCTTGTGTATATGTACACATTGTACTTGATGTCCAGTCGTAGCAATTACAGGATAAGATAAATTAATAATATCCGGTCTCATGACCAGACAGAGAAACATATTTTGAGAGGATAAACTGAAGCAAAACAAAAATGGTACAAGGCACGTTCGAAACAACCAATTCATGCTACGTTAACTGATGACGATAACAATTGCAACACGTCGATCAGGAACCGTTGTACATTTAGTTTTGAAGGAATTAAAGTTATCTTGTACTAGTTGAATGATCGATATGTGGGGTTTAACGTCCGAAAACCACCATATGATTGTGAGAGACGCCGTAGTGGAGGGCTCCGCAAATTTTGACCACCTGGGGTTCTTTAACGTGCACCCAAATCTGAGCACACGGGCCTACAGCATTTCCGCCTCCATCGTAAATGCAGCCGAGATTTAAACCCGCGACCTGCGGGTCAGCAGCCGAGTACCTTAGCCACTAGACCACCGCGGCGGGGCTACTAGTTAAATGACTGAGCTGATTGAATGAATTCGCCCCCTTTAAGCTAACTTCCTGCTAGTAGGATATCAGTCATTCCTGCAATATCAGAATACTTTGCGCTATACAGAGAGGAGATTTTCTCGTGAATGCACTTGCGCATAAGCTTTCGTGGTTGTAAGTTTTTACTAATTAAATTAATTGCCTGTGGACGTTTTCCATGTATTGTGTGCTTTCTCTTGAACCACTCCACTCTTGTTCCAAAGACGCTGAACCAACATGCCAAACTAATCACCATTTTCAAACAAAAGTCTAGACATATCCATTTCGGAAGCACTGAATGTTGGGTTATTTAGTCTGACATGTTAACCACAAAAAATAGCAACGATGAAAGTAAACCGAACGAAGATGCGTACCTGCCAATCACCCCCACGAGTCCTGTATGACTACGTTAACCCAGCCAGACATATAAACGGGATACCGCAAATCGCCTTCCAAACGATATTAACGACGAGATTCAGGGCTGCACGGTGCATGCACCCGGGCAAGTTCGCGGTCGACGTTCCAGGGCGTTTCTCACACGTGCCCATCCTAAGGCGAGGCCAGGCGCGCGTGCACGGTATCACATTTTTCTTTTCCTTGTCGGCAGGTATCATAACAGGCGGCCGGCTGCTATCTCGGGGCACACCATCACTGCAGCGGCAGCCCCACGTGCACCGGCGATGTGCTCGCGGGGTGTTGCTTGCGCGGCTTCTCACGCCTGCCGCTGGGCGGGACAGGTAGACGGGGGCAACCGCGCGCCCGTGCATGCACCGGAGCAATGCACGGACGCCCACGCGAACGTCGGGGATTTCGGAGTGATTAATCCTCGGCGGGAGCTAACGCGAGCAGGGGCGTCGATTTCCGCGATGCAAAATATCACGACGCAAGGCGGGGGCCTTTAGAAGGGAGGAGAGTGCTGAAGGAGCGTTGATGATGATGATGATGATGATTGCCTAAACGAATGGCTCACATCCACTCTGGGGGATTGACCAAGAAACGATAATAATAATAATAATAATAATAATAATAATAATAATAATAATAATAATAATAATAATAATAATAATAATAATAATAATAATAATAATAATGTTTAGTTTTCATCAATAGTTTGATGAAGGACAGCTGCAGATAAAAGCTGCTCTCCGAAAGAGGCAGCCTGACAAAGGCCCACAGATACCTTTTAGCACGACAGCAGTGGCAAACAATCAGCAATGTGAAGTCAACAACAATACCAACAACACCTTATAGAAAACAAATTTTTCTAATTAAGAAATTTGGAATCAAAACCACCTTGATTCGATTAAGGATCTTTGTACAGCAGAATAGATTACCCGGTGAAAATGACCTTATGGGGAGGCTCCTAAGGAGAAAATATGAGAAATAATGCGTTGAACTCCACTTACCAGCCGTCTTCGTCATCGGCGACCCGGAGCGAAGAAAATACAAAATGTCGGAAGTCACGTGGTTACTGAGGGTACCGAGCGCCGGCCGCCGCGACGGAATGTAGGAAGCAACGAGCGGAACCACGACTTTCCCAAACGACTAGCAGATTTGACCCAGCGAGCTCTGAACGGAACAAGTTGAAGCAGTGGTATACTACGGCTGAGTTAGGTAAAAGGCGGCAGGTGGGAGGTTTCTGACGCCCCCCCCCCCCCCCCCCCCAGGCCCCTACTCCCCTCCCCACTTCCACCTTTTCCTATCGGAAATTCGTGCATGACCGAGTCTTACTACTCGTACTGCTTCTATCGTTCTCCTCCTCTAGTACTACAAGAGAATTGATTCTTAAGAGAGAAAGGAAAAGAAAAGCGAGCCCCGTAACTGTCTACTTCAGTGAGCAACACCTCAACAGTAGCTCACATGGGATGTGGGTGAGGAGGGATAAAAAAGGGGTAGGAGTAAAGGTGTAGAAAAGAGGAAGAAGAAGAAGAGAGGAAGAGACGTGAGCGAGCGACAACAAACTGAGGGGATAGATGAGATAGGAAAGATGGAAGCACGGTCACTGGAGTCCGAGGACGGGGCACACTTGCGAGAGCTCTTGTCGGCGTCGGTAGATGGCGTATAGAGCAAGTCCAGTCGGTCAGAGCTACACTGTCGTCGAAGGTCGTCGGCGTCAGGAGGTGACGTAGGGCGAGCCCAGTCGGCCAGAGCTACGCTGACGCCGGAGATCGCAAGCGCTCACTACTTACTACTACCAGCTGTAGTATTGGCAGCAACAAGATTGCGGCAGTAGCAGCGGTACTTGGTCGCTATTGTAAATGTCACCGAATTTCGCTGTATTATAACGGTCTTCTCGACTCGCCGCCCAGTCCCGATTTATTATCAGTAGTAGTAGTTAAGCAATAGTTGTAGTAGTAGTATGCAGCAGCACGAGGAGAAGGAATACCATCCCCGCTTGGTTTACAAATACCACACTTAGAACCGTTCGGGTACTTCTTTCACAGCTATACCCTCTCCTACACCCCCCCTCCCGCACGCGCTCCAACACACACACACACACACACACACACACACACACACACACACACACACACACACACACACACACACACACACACACACACACACACACACACACACACACACACACACACACACACACACACACGTGTGTGGATTGAGAGCGACACGCTACATATTCATGACTGTATGCCTCCAAGGAGGATATTCGCAGGAGACACACCAATTACGTCGCATCACAACCGTGTCACCTATAGCGTAAGGGGAAAATTCACGCAGAAAATATGGCCATTTGGACTTTTCAATAATACGAATAAACGGTGAGGTACGAAGCGATAACACACAAAATATAACTAACAAGGAACAAGGACCACGTGCGGTCTCGTCTAAACTCGAAGGCGACGTCCCTGCACACGGCCTCAGCACAGGCTTGTTGAAGCTTGGTGTCCGCAAGGGCAGGGCTCGTAGTCTCTATGCAGTTGCCTTGGCGTCACCGTAGGGCCATACGACGAATACGAGAGCCATGACTGCTCCGAACACGGAACCACACACGACGTCCTCCGGGAAGTGCTTGTGCTGCAGAACCCTCTGCAAACAGACCACCAAGACGAGCGCGCCGAGATAAACAGCCAGGAAAGCAGCTCGACATGGCTGCTCGAAGCCCACGCACCTGCGCAGCACGCAATGTTCATTACACCGCGGTGAAATACATCGCGAAAGTAACAAAAGTGAAAAGTTACAATACCGCGCAAAAGTAGAATACATTGAAGTAACAAAAATACTTAAGTGTTAGGCATGAACATGAGCCAAACCATCCCCGAGATATGACACTTCTGCTTGTGACAGTGCTACCGAAGGTTGGCTGATGCAATTGTGATTCACTGTGGTCTCCACGTGGATGACCTTCGGGTCAGTTAAAACCAAGAGTTCAACAGGTCGCATCCGTGTGACATGACAAACACAGAGCGAGTTGTTTCTCGCCAAAGCTTACAAAGCGTTCCTACCAGAACCAGTGAAGTCAGCGCAAGCCAGGTCGGAACAGTGTACTGTGATGGCTGCTAATGGCGAACAATGGCACTTGTGCAGTCTGCCCCGTACATTGACTTAATAGGGAGTCCGCCCAACACATTGAATGTGCCACCCTTACCATGACAAGTAAGGATGTACACACAATGCCACTGACATGCGCCACAACTGTAGGAAAAAGGGTACGTATAATCTCGTACAAACGCCACTGCGCACAAAGGTGTGGCCATTCATAATTATCTGCTCTAATAATACTGCGTCTAACAAGAATGATTGACTGATTTGTGGGGTTTAACGTCCCAAAACCACCATATGATTATGAGAGACGCCGTAGTGGAGAGCTCCGGAAATTTCGACCACCTGGGGTTCTTTAACGTGCACCCAAATCTGAGTACACCTGCGTCTAACAAGGAAAACCTGCCCTTAAATTTATACTTCTTTCCAGCCAGACCTATTTACATAAGGTATATCACGAGATAAAAGTGATATCGAAGTAGTACTGACGCATGTGACGAAGTCTGCCTCAACAATTCGACGTGTCAACTGTGAATTAATCCGGCTATAACACCTTCATTTTTTTTTTTTGAATAAGGGACACACAACCTCAATGCGGTAATGAATGCCCAAGTGGTCTTGGACCATGTTGTACGCGTTGTTGTGGCGCTCTCTTGGCAGTCCTTCGGGTAATTGTCAGTCAAATGTACACAATTTTATCTTCCCCGTCCTACGATTAAAGTGCTGTAAGTCAGCGCCACGTGTGAGTCGCACGTCATTGTCCGCGTCTCATTTTGAGATGCACAGGTTTCAAACAACGTTTCACCAACGCATGCAAGCTTTTACATTAAGCCGGTTTGAAGTACGGTAGCAACGCTGGTACCAGCCTGCGAAGCAGAGTTTAGCGGCCACGGTGGTTACACGGTGGTCGACAGCTGACCCGCCGGAAGCGGGATCGAATCAAGGTCACTGCGGCCGATCTCGCGATGGAGATGAAGATGCTCGAGTACCCTGTGCTTAGATTTAAGAACACGTTATAAAAAAATTAGACCATCTCCCGCTAAGAAGAGAACCATGTGTAAATCCGAAGCGGCGTGTGCAAACGCTTACACTGGCGGCGGCGTTGACGCTGGCGCTCATAGCGGCGTTGCTCACGAGAAGAACCTGGGGAGGCGCAAAGCACGTATTGATGGACTGGAGTTTCTTACTGGAGCATGCCTATGGCTGCTAACGGGCAATGAGAGACAGAAGACTCCGATTGGACACAGAGACCCTCATTCTGCTTTTAGTTACCGCGCACGCTGCAATCTTTTTTCGTTCAACAACTCACAGGAGAAACTTCCCACCGGCACTATAGCTTGAAGGTCTAGGTCCAGTGAATGCACATATATTCGTGGTGGCCAGTGAAATTGTGCATTGCGAGCAGTCAATTTCCTCAATCGAGAAACTCGCTAGCAGACACTGCCTGCGTCGAGGTTGCGAGGCGAGGGAGCGTAGGAGAGGAGAGCGAGGGAGAGCGCGAGAAAGGAGAGGGAAGAATGGGTGTGCATGTGCGGCAAGGGCGGTCACGCAACACACCGGACTGAGCTCGCTCATAAGATTCTTCGCATCCAGGAAGGCTTAATGGCCAAATTTCCGGAGCCTTCCGCTACGCCGTCTCTCGTAACCATATAATGGTTTTGGGACGTTGAATACCAAATATTATATTGATTGCGAAGCAAAGTTCTATCGGACTGAAAAAAAAAAAGAAGTATAATGTCATTGATCCATCACAGCATGAAGTGCGGGTAGGCAGAGATATAAACGTTACTTTTTTGAAAATTTCGTGGAGAAGATGATTCATGCAATACGACGATGCTTTCATAACTTAATGCCCCAGTTTGAAGCCTTGAATGACTAACTACCTTATGTTACAGTTACCATTTGTTAAATAAGTTTGATTTAGTTGATAACCAGCCGACAGTCGCTGCTTACAATAAGCGAATAAATGCGATAGTCATCACTTGCACTGTACGATTGCCCCGTCAATACTTGAGGTCCTTGAATAGCTGCGAGCGCCACGTGATCGAGAATGTGAATACTCTGATTGATTGATATGTGGGGTTTAACGTCCCAAAACCACCGTATGATTATGAGAGACGCCGTAGTGGATGGGCCCCGGAAATGTGAATACTCTGTCCAATCTGCAAAGTGAGCTCACCTCCGAATACTGTAGCCAAACATGAAGACAGCCGCGAAGCCCGCAACGGCAGCGTGGCCCGAAGGAAACGAGTCCCCCGACTTGGGGCCCTTGGGCCCAGTGCACCGATAGTCCGTGACGTCACCAGTGACCGGTGTCCGAGAGCTAACGCGACGATATTCGGAGTGTTCGCCGCCGCCAAAGACCGAAGGGACGCCTGCGTTTAAGGTAACGTGCGAGTCACCGCCATGTTGTAATGAAGATGTATGTTTCTTTAACCATTGACATAAAATTGAGCTATCAAATCCAGTTACAGCAATTCATGTCCGAAAACCAGTGACCAACACCTCTCCACCCAAGGCGGCAGCCTAGTGTTTATGGTGCTTAACAGTAAGGTCGCGGAATCGATTCCTGGTGGCGGCGGTCCGAAACGCTGGAGACCTGTTCACATATATTTAGAGGTACGTTAAAGACCTCCAGGTGGTCGAAACTTCCGAAGCCCTGAACTACCGTATTTTTTTATAATCACGACAACGACAATTTAAAACAATTCGGCTGTGCCATGTTTACTCGCATTTACCACCAGTGCCAGTAAATGTGGAACAGTTGTCAGCATTCTCTAAGGAAGTATTGCGGATGTTACTGTAACAATTCCGTATGTTTTAAGGGTAATTCTTACGGGAAGTATACACACTGAATATACGATTTCATATATTTCCATAAGAACATCGAGGAAAGCGTATGTGACTACTGGAATAACACACACACACACACACACGCGCACACACACACACGCGCACACACACACACACACACACACACACACACATATATATATATATATATATATATATATATATATATATATATATATATATATATATATATATATATATATATATATATATATATATATATATATATATATAGGGTCATCGACCCCTTCATCGGTTTTTTATACCCAAAAGAAGTTCTGACTTCCAAACCAAAGAAGTTCTCTCTCTCTGTCTCTCTCTCTGTGCGTGTGTGTGTGTGTGTGTGTGTCTGTGTGTGTGTGTGCATCATTCCAGCAATATCCCTTTTTTTTCGCCTTTAAAATCTGCAGGCCTTTACCGCACCACAGAAACAGAATACGGGATACTATCTCGTTTGCTCCGTGACGCAACACTTCACGTCGCTGGAGATCCCGTGGGGAGCGAGATGGTAACGAATTTCGAAAAGGCATATAAGGGAGGTCCAAGATGGTACACTATTGTGTATTCTGTGACACGGTTCAGACCTCTTGTTTCGTGCTTTGTTGCACGATAGAGCGCTCACCTGAGCGCGGTCCTGGAGCCACCGGCCTTCCCGAACACACGAGCACCTCCGTTCCGTTGGGCAGGCGCACGGCCGGTTGGCAGGCGTCGATGAAAAATGGTCTCTTAGAGTTAAATGCCATCTTGATGATGCTGGTAATGTCACCTGTGAGGAACAGGGCGACGGCGCGCTGTTGGTGCAATCATAGTGATCCTGAGCGACGATCGACGCAGAGAACTCCTGAGAGTGTGTACAGTTAGGACACCCAACGTCTCAAACCGAAGCCGTATAGACCTCTGCCATATTTAGACCTATTCCATGCTTAGAAACAGCGGTAGACGCCGTCGACATACTGAAGCGCTTGTAGCGACGTCGTCTCGCGCAGCCTCCACCCAGCCCAGAGCTCGCAACCACGCTCTATGATCACGTGACAACTGGCACTGCAGCTGCCCCGGCCTGACTCGGTTGAGGCAGAGGAGAGAGGGGGGAAGTGATTTTAAATGAAAAAAAAAAGAGAAAACTCAGCCCCGTAACTGTCTCTCAGGGGCAGGCAGGACACCTGAATAGTAAGTAGCTCACGAGGGGTGGGGGTAGAGAAGGGATTAAAAGGATAGGATTAAAAAAAGGTAAAGAGATAGATAGAGAGGAATGAGAGAGCGAGGCGCGGTGACGGCGAACGACGGAAGTAAGGAGAGGACAGGAATGATGGATACGGTTGCAAGAGTCCGAGGACGGGGCACCACTGGCGAGAGCACTTGGCGGCGTCAGGAGATGGCGTGGGGCTAATCCAGTCGGCCAGAGCTACGCTGTCGTCGTCGTCGGGGACCGGCGTCAGGAGGTGGCGTAGGACCAGCCCAGTCAGTCAGCCAGCCAGAGCTGCGCTGTCGTCGGAGAACGGGAGGGCACAATCGGTCGGCGCTGAATCCAGCGAGCGAGTGGAGAAGAGAGTGGAGTCCGGACGTACAGCTACAAAGCTCCTTCCGACACACGGGAGGTTCCCCGACGCTCTCTCCTCAGAGGCAGCTTTGCAGCTGCTCGGCTAGTTGTCACGTGATCATGGAGCTTTGGTGGAGGCTACGCACCCCGACGTCGCTACAAGCGCCTCTGTATCTCAACGGCGCCTACCGCTGTTTAGGAACATGGATTAGGTCTACAGGTTCTTGCGGAGCGTGTTGGTGGACGCGTAAAGCAACAATTTTAGGCGCCTCTCGCCAGAGGTTATCGTCCACTCGAGACCCACCTGAGATGACGAGGCCGACGAATAATCTGCGAGTATGCCTGGCCGCCCAGTAGGTCGCATCCGTCCAACTGACGCCGGGGCGCCACATCTCATTCACTAACACCACGGCGTGCGAAGAGGCCCATACTACCAACAAATAGGGAGCCGTGGGCAAGATGTCCCGCTCCTGGAGGGCCTGCAGGGACGGGTCGTCACAGCGGAACGGGGACGAGGGCGGACTCCGGATGACTTCTGCGAAAGCGAAGGTGTGCGCAGGGTTCGAGATTAACCGGGACATGGGGGGCAGTGTAAGGTTGACCAAGGCACCCACACTGTTGGTCTAGTCATAAAAAAATTGCCCGCAGCTTCCCTCGGGGGAACACTGAGGAGGATGCGGACCATATAATTGGTTAACGGGGTGTTAAAGTGCGACTTACTTGGGTCGATGGCTAAATTGGTTAACGTGGTTGTGAAATGGGGTGTTAAATTGCGACTTACTTGGGTCGATGGCTAAATTGGTTAACGTGGTTGTAGGAGGGGGTGTTAAATGAGTGAACACGTACACACGTATGCGAAAGGGCGGCGCTGGTCGAAGGGACGTCGATCATTGTGTTTGTGGATTCGTTGGAATTCATTTCACCGCGACCTTGGACGTCGACGCGCCGTACAAACCAACCGACGAGCGGCAACTGAGCGAGCGAGCGCCGACCTTGAGTATATATACAGCACGACGGCGCATGCACTGTCAGCTGTTGAATGTTCTCGAAGCGCGACGCCACATGCGCGTCCACTGGAGAATCAGGAGAATTGTAGATGTCGAACGCGGTGTGTAGAGGAGGAAGGGTGCACAGATGGTGGAGGAGTGAAGCGCGCGCGGTGTGTAGAGGAGGAAGGGATGCACAGATGGTGGAAGAGTGGGCGACGGCGCGACGGCGCATGCGCGCGCGTCAGCTGTCGAATGTTCGAGAAGCGGTGTGGACGGCGCGGACGGCGCACTACAAGGCGCGAGTATAAGATGCTCCGCATCTAAAAAACAAAAAACAAAGCTTCGCAATGGGTGCAAAAATAAACATGAAGCAATGACGTGCTTCCCCCTTGATCTCCCTTTTACACGGTTTTCCAGATATAACTACGGTAAATAAGCAGGTGTTGCAGTGCAACCATGAGTGTTTCTGGGCCGTCAATATGGCCTAAAACCGCCATGGCCACAACCATCAACGTTAAAGAATGGCCAGAAGGGACTGACCAAGTAACAATACGGACGTGACATGGTGCATCCGTTAAATGATTGTGGGAAGGGGGGGGGGGGGAGAATTTTTTGCCCACTGAAGAAATGCAGAAGAAAGCAGCTGCTGTCCTGCAGACGAAGAATGGTCCCCTTCTCGATTCGGTACACTCGAGCTACATACCATATTTGACAAGTTATCACTTCAAGCATTCCTGTTTCCCTTAACTAAATGGTCGGTAGAAGATATTGCTCGGTGACATAGCACCTTGCTTCCGTACTTGCAATACTCACGGATTTAAATGTGCAGCGGGAGAACGTGGTCGCTACTCGCTCGTACAAGGAGTGCCAATCATGGTGCCAGTGGAAGCAAACAGTTGTATTGTAACATAGCAGGAAGGCGAGAGACATAACGACGATCCCGCATACCCATTGTCACAGGTTATCTCCATAACTACCGTATTTCTTCTTCCGACTTCAGTACGTTAACCATATTCATTAAGCTGCAAGTGTGGTTCAAACAGGCGGCTCGCAACATATACCGCTTACCGGAGACAACGACCAAGGCGAAGCCGATGGCAATTCCGACAACCGCGCCGCGCACGAAGCCTCTAATGGAGTTGTCGGGCAGCAAGGTTGACAAAAAGAGTCGGACCAGCGCAAAGAAACTGTCGTCCATTGCAGTATACCTTAGGTGGGACGATCTAGACCTCGACTCAGAACTGGCGGTACTACGGCTGCTTCCATGAGGGGCGGAAACTGCGTCCACGCCGGTAGACCCTCGGTGAGGCGCTCTGTGCCCCGGCTCAGCACTGACGACATTGTGGCTGGTTCCATGAGCGGCAGAAACTGCGTCCACTTCGGTAGGCCCTCGGTGGGGTGCCCTGTGCCCCGGCTCAGTACTGACTACATTGTGGCTGGTTTCATGAGCGGCAGAAACTGCGTCCACTCTGGTAGACCCTCGGTGAGGCGCTCTGTGCCCCGACTCGGCATTTACGACCGTACGGCTGGTTCCATGAGCGGCGGAAACTGCGTCCGCTAGAGCAGACTCTCGGTGGGGTGCTCTGTGCTCCGGCTCAGCACTGACGACATTACGGCTGGTTCCATGAGCGGCAGAAACTGCGCCTACTCCGGAATATTCTCTGTGAGGCGCTCTGTGCCCCGGTTCAGCACTGACTACATTATGACTGGTTCCATGAGCGGCAGAAACTGCGTCCACTCCGGTAGACCCTCGGTGAGGTGCTTTGTGCCCCGACTCAGCACGAACTACATTACGACTGGTTCCATGGGCGGTGGAAACAGCGTCCACACCGGTAGGCCCTCGGTGGATAACTCTGTGCCCCGGCTCGGCAGTGACGACATTACGGCCGGTTCCGTGAGTGGCAGAAACTGCGTCCGCTACGGTAGACCCTTGGTGGAGTGTCGTGTGCCCCGGCTCGACATTGACGACATCACGGCCGGTTCTATGGGCGGCAGAAACTGCGTCCGCTACGGTAGGCCCTCGGTGGGGTACCCTGTGACCCGGCTCAGTACTGACTACATTATGGCTGGCTCCATGAGCGGCAGAAACTGCGTCCGCTACGGTAGGCCCTCGATGGGGCGCTCTGGGCCCCAACTCACCAGGGACGACAATACGTCGTGTTCCATGAGCGGCAGAAGCTGCGTCTGCTACAGTGGACCCTTGGTGGGGTGCTCTATGCCCCGTATCATAAGGGACGACACTACGGCTGGTCCCATGAGCGGCAGAAACTGCGTCCACTACGGCAGACCCTCGGTTGGGAACTCTGTGCCCAGGGTCATAAGGGACGACACTACGGTAAGTTCCATGAGCGGCAGAAACTGCGTCCGCTGCGGTAGACCCTGGGTGGGGCGCTTTGTGCCCCGACTCATAAGGGACGACACTCCGACTGATTCCATGAGCGGCAGAAAGAGCGTCCGCTGCGGTAGATCCCGTGTGGGGCGCTCTGTGCCCCGTCTCATAAGGGAGAACGCTACGGCTGGTTCCATGAGCGGCAGAAACAGCGTCTACTGCGGTAGACTCTCGGTGGGGTGCTCTGTGCCCTGTCTCATAAGGAACGACACTACGGCTGGTTCCATGAGCGGCAGAAACCGTGTCCGCAACGGTAGACCCTCGCTGGGGTGCTCTGTGCCCCAATTCGGCATTGACGATACTACGCTTGGTTCCATGAGCGTCTGTAGGCATCTCCTGCGTCTAGGAGACCCGCACCTGGACAACAGATGAATAATAGTTGGCGAATAGTTCCCTCAAAGCAACTGTCAAACGTGATAAGAATTAGCCCCTCATTCTGTGCATATAATTGGAACTAGGTGTACAGCTAAGAGTAGCAATTGCACATGGACTCACACAAGGCCATAAAGATAGAGAGAAGATACTGCCCCCCCCCCCCAGCCCAATCACTCCTACCTTCAATAGAAATGGCTGGCTAAGCACCATTAGATTCAGGCGCTGCGAGGGGTTGCGCTAAATACACTTTCGCAGATAACGACAATATAGACTGTGCTGACGCTAGTGGAACATGATGTCATGCTGCCAGCGCAATGCTCGCCCTCCGAAAAAAATACGAAAGGTGAAAGGGTATGAGTGCACAGAAAGCGTGTGTTATTACCGGCTGGGTCATAGGGCAACTACACAGTCATTTGCCCTGCACGGAACCACACACAGGTTTCAAAGGCGGTCTTTCACTTCGTTGAAGACATTGTACTGGACAGGACAGCGGCAATAGAAGCCACCCGCAGCACCCTCGATAATGGACACCCATCTCCTTCCCTTCTCTGATAGTCTTCACAGCTTCATTTCCCTTTCCCCATTCACCCAGAGGCACTGAACCACGCTTCTAACAATCGCTGCAGAAGCTGCGTCTATCCCACTCCTCAACCTCTCCCCCTCTTCCTTACCGGATGTAATCGACGTGCTTGGAAGACCTGCGCGAAGACGTGCGATGATCTTGGTCGGTGCGTGGCACAAACGTACGCCAGGACAGGGGAGCAGAACCGTGAAGCCACTTTGCGTGCGCTCGTGGTCGCTCGCGCAATGAATGCCACCACGAGCACGGGCCAAATCGCTGTTGCCAGACTCGCGGTGCGCTCCTGGCTAGCACTCGCAATTTGCAGCTTTGAAAATGTGAGTCCGACAAAGAGAGGAGTTTAGGGGAAGATAGAAGCTTGAAAAGGTGAAAAAAAATGCCGCCTGCATTTTCTCGCGGGAGGGAACTTCAGTAAACGCGTCGCACAGTGCTAGGGGTATCACGCGAATGTTGCGTGATTGGTTATGGTTTGGGAATGCTTAATTATTATTTCGTCTTTATTATTCTTATCTATTGAATGGAGGACAAGCGTTGCCTTTAACGTGAAGGGAAAGCCAAGACGCCCTTGACTGATTTCCGAGCGCGCGAACCAGCGCCTACATATACGGGGTGGCCAGTGAACGACGGTGCAACGCGAGCAGTCGCTTCGTTTTTCAAAGGGGCCCTGAAACACTTTTCAGAGTAACCATGGGAAGAATTCACTGGAAGAGCTTATTGCATCACGAATTCAACGCCGACAAAATTTTAAGAATCCGTCCAGTACGAGCGGAGTTACAAAGATTAGTCACATGCTGCAATCGCATTCTCTCTTCTCTCGTCCCGACGAAAGCGCTGGAATCTAAGCAAAGAGGTATGGCAGGGCCACAGAGAAACGTCCCGCGAGCCCCGTGACCTTGAGCACTTTCCATCTTTTTTTCGCTTCGCGACTTTTTTAGATGCGCGGCTTTTTTAGTGTGATCGCACGCGCACGCATGGGCAAGTAGCGGCCTCCCGCGGCGATCTCTGTAACGAGCGAGCACACCATGTTCAAATCAGCCAATGGCTGATGGATGTGCTTGCTACGTGTGATTTTCGGGTATATTTCGTGATTTGTCGAGAGAAGGGAGAACAATTTTTAGCGGAATTTGATCATTTATCATTAATTCCAGGCCGCGTGCTGCGCTATATCATTTGGCTTGCGTGTTGTCGGGAGCCTCTACTACCGATCGGCAGCGTTTTCTGACCATGCTCGAAGTGTTGCTCGAAGTTTAAGCCGTGGGTCGTGCATCCCTGATGTATGCAGTAGTAGTAGTGGTAGTAGTAGTAGATAGCCAACTTTCTTTTAGTCCTTGGAATGTCCGCTGGGTGGCGGTACTTGTATGTGATGAATATATGACGAAAAGATGCGGGATGGCGGCACTTGGAGTGTTCACTAGATGGACGGACGGACCGACAGACGCATTGACGGACGGAAGCAAGAACCAACGAATGGACTGATGGACGCTTCGCCCCCCTTATCAATTCACTCCATGGATACGCGGCGATTTTTTTCTTTAACTAGCAGGACACTGCTTGCCTCGGCCTTGCAAGGCGAGAGAAGGGGAGGGGAGCGACAGTTTGGCGGCTGTCTTCCTGGGCCGGCACAGACAGGAGCATGCGCAGTTTGGGTATGGACGGCACCACCACCGATGTGCGACATCGTGCGACTACTACATGCACCACATGAATGAATAGACTTTAAAGTACGGCAGTCTTACCGGGCGAGGTGGGGGAAGAGGGGATTGACCCCTGTCTCTTCCCACTCTCCGTTGATAGCGGTGCCTCAGGTGACCGCTCGAAGTCCTTGCACCCCGGCGGCATCTTCAGCTTAAAAAAAAATAATTCCGGGTGTCGCTGAAGCCAACGTTTCGACAATTAGCACAAGCATGCACACGGAATGTGTGAGCTAAGAAGGTGGGGGTCGGAATCTACCCCATACTTTGGCTTAATAAGAGGGGGCGGGGTCATGTTCATCCACCCTGACGAGAACCGTGCGCAGGCCCATGACGCATAGTGTTGTCTTCTTGCTGTCTGGAATAGACAAGACCGGTCGCCTAAATGTTGGCTCCAGTGACACTGCGTGCTGCAAGAATTTTCCATCCATGAAAATGTGAGCTTGACCCGATGATGACACGAAGTGCTCCTTGAATTTCTTTCGGCATCTTATAGGGATGGGGTGTGAACAAATACCAGTAGAATAAAATCAATTCTACACAATAGCACATACGTCGAAAAGGAGCGCTGGGAGGCACATCTCGCTATCTGGGATGCGGGGATGCAAATCGCGCTCCTGGCTCCCGTACGGAGGGCGGCGAAGCCCACTGAAGCCCCCGGGCCTCCGTAGCCACCCAGTTGGCCTCAACTTATCCTTTTCTCGGACAAATGCAGCACGACTTGGACGAAGACGTAGGACAGCGACAGACGAGCGCCGTCTATCGCGTTGCATTTGTCCGAAATGTACCAAATCGCCCGAACAAAGGAATTGTCTTTATGCTGCAAAAGTGCGTCTTGAAGAGTCAGTTGGTACATGTTACTGAGGGTGAAATAGCATGAAAAACGAGATAAAGAATGACCACACACCACAGCACTTGTATTGTGTGCGTCATTTTTCGTCTTGTTTTTGCGCTGTTTCCCCCTCAGCGTCTTTATCCATTCACCTGAAATAGTTTTGTCCTTCCTTTTTACCGTCTTCTTTTACGTCTCCGTACCTGAAGGCGTTTGTAGCGGCTCGTGACTGGAAGAATGAGCATCGCATCTGAGTCGAAAGACTAAAGTCAGCAGAGATATTGCAGGCCATTGCACATGACGCAAATGAACACGGAATGCCGGATGGCACACGTATCGACATAGTTCACTTGTCAATAATTACCAGTGGGATTGCTGGCGTTAAAGTCTGCGGCGGTTATACAAAGGTTGATTCAGCCAGCACTGAAGGAAGGGTATAGTATGCGAATTTACCGGATCTCCACTACTTTTGGTCAGAGCACTATTTCAACGAAGCAAATCAGAAAAGTTAGAGAATGGCATTACATCATAGATGCAATCACAAATCAGCTATAGCAGGACCACCTCACGTGGCGAAGAGGTATGCACCAGCGCCTCAACTCAGTCAAGGAATTTTTTTTGTAGTACACTTAAGGACAAGCTCAAGAAAGCTTTCCATTATTTCACCCATAAGTGAACCGAAAGGTGATGTCTAGGTAACGAGGAGTCACATGTATCTAGCTGACTGTGGCATATTCATGCTTGAGAAACCACCTTAATTTCAAATGATGATACTAGAAAGTGGTTAATGTAGCAAATGTTAGTAAAAGCTTTTAAATTTCAGATGCGACAATCATGGGTTCGTGCACACAGGTTGGTAGTGTTTGAATAAGAGGCTAACCAGGACCACCATCAGTGAATGCAATTGCTTACTTTGCAAGAGTGTTTAGCATGTATTTCATTGTACTGAGCCCCCTCAACAAAATGGTCTGTTGCATTATAATAACGAAGCACTCAGGAATATTAGAGTTGTTCTTGTTAAATGTGCAAGGAATTTAAACTACAAATAAAAATTCTGGCAGATCGTAACATGATAGTTAATACCACCGCAAGTCCACATGAGTATAGAAATGTTGTACAGTGGTTCAATTACAAGAAAGATTCATGAATCCCTTACTTTTTTCTTAATATGAATCCCTAGGAATGAACAGTCAACATTGAAATTGAGAAGAAGCTTCAGAAAGTGTTCACTTGGGTGAGATAGAATGCACAAAATATTATGCTGACAATATTGTATCAATGAGCTGGAACACATTTGGTAACACCAAAACTTGTTTATTGACTAGGCAGCAATATAGGAAACAGTGCTACATTAGTAGCTAGTTTGCTCAACACACCTGTCATACAAAAGGACAGGAACAATCAAACAATGGGAACATTTTCAATCGTACATTGCGACAGAAATCGACCCTGGAATCTAGTAATACTTTGTTGACTGCGATGGTGACTATCGATGAACATAAGCACTCCCCGATTCAAAAAGAACAATGTGCAGAGTATGCCTTTTGCAAGCTACATGTCAGAAAGGCGTGGTGCTAATTTTATCTCTGCATCATCAATTCATTTCATTTAAACTGACCTTTTAAATTATCAGCGAAATCAATGAAGGATCAAAGGTGATATTTGAGCCCACACTCTGTATCCGAAGTGCTCACAGTATCCCCGAAAAACATTGACTACAATAACATGACCTCTAGGTGCAGTTGAATAAGCACTAAAAAATCTGCAGACGAACAACTTATTGCAGACATGTATATGTTAGCAACAGGTGTAGCAAGAAACATCACTAGCAGAGCTTTTTTTTTTTCTTCAGGCACGTCAGCTACTTAAACTTCTGCATTACATATTTAATAAATGTTGAAAATGCAGCAAAGTACAATCAAAAGGCTTAAGCTCACAATCGATTGTCCCCATATGAACGTGTTCATGTATAAGATTGTTTCTCAATCGACATAGTTCGATAAAGCGAAAATAATTTCCGAATTATGTATGCTCTGGTCTTACAAGCCCGACAAATACTTCTTTGCAGCGTTATGAAACAACCCAAAGAACCCCTTCTTGGTTTAAACTGTCGATCGCATTAAAAAATACAAGAAAAATTAGCGGTTACATTGAGCAAGGAAAGGCTTTGGTCCGCTCACATAATTCGATGCCTCGCCGAGTACAAAAAGATTCTCTTTCAATGAGCATGAAATAGCTGCTGCACATGAGCATTTGCATAGACGCATAACTACATTGCAACTGCACGAGTGTAAAGCTTCAAGACAGATGCAATTGAAATGGTAAATATATCTTTAAAAAGGTAGCTGCTATGTACAGTGCTTCAAAAAACATCAGAATCTATAAACTCGATAGCAAGTATACTTCAACCATGCTTGCATGAGTAAGACTAGTACTTGTAAAATAAATGCTCTATAAACATCAACTACATATATTGGCACTTCAAATACACCTGTTTTTGTGAAAGCCACAACACCAAAGCTTGCAAGCAGACTGACAGAACACATTCAACTATGGAGTACAGGAATGCTCGGAAGTTAAAAAAAAAAAACGCATCACAGCCAAGTTTGGCTTAGGAAATAACCATTAATGACTTAGCCTACTTGGTCTGGCTTAGGTGTTTAACACTTAAGACCATTAGCGACTTAATGACGGAGGCTTAGGAAGTGAAACTGGAGTGTAGAATTTATGAGAGGGCAGGAATGAGAGGGCAGGGCAAGCTTGCAACACTCGTAATAATCTCTGGACGTGCAGCCATTCAAACAGGCAACCACGTGGTTTGGCCCCTATCAATTCCAACAGGTGTATGGATATACGACATGATCTGCATAAAATATTGCACATAGCGAACTTTTAAAATTGTGACCTCATTCAAGTCACAAAACTGCCAACATCACAACCACAATTCACTATTAGGCATTGAAAAAATTCTAGTGAAGTGGTTGTCTCTTTATACTTATAAATCTAAATTCTGTAAACAGACATTTATTTAAATCCAAAGCTATTCATTTATGATTTGTAAGGATTTCAAACCTTGTAAATTGTTTAGTCAAAAAATTATTTTCGTAAATGACTGTATATACATAGAAAAGTTTTTTCTCTGGAAACAGATTCGAAACTTACAAATGGCAAGTTAATTGTAGCTCACAGAAAGACTAGTCTGTAAAGGACAGTCCTCCTGAACATCTGTCATACAGGAAGCATGATCATATAAGAAATCAGCGAACAAGCAAATTCCCTTTTCACTTGCGTAATATTCAGTATATAAGCAAAATCCTAACACAACTTGTCATATTGCGTGGGGCAGTGTATTTTAGAGTCATCAAGCAATACTCGCACATTAAATATGTGAACTATTAATTCATGAGACAGTAACCCATGAGTACCAAGCATCTGTTCACTTGGTGGTTTTACAGAAGCATAAGTGAACCAAAAAATCAGCTTGGTGCTATGCACAATGCCGAACAGATTTTACAGATAGTTCCAACAGCTGAACGGAGGAGATGAGCTTCGAATAATTATAACAGTGACCATGTAAGCAACAATGCTTTAGTTTCAGCTGCGACTTGCATAGTGTGGGAACCCATCCCCAACGACGAAGCTTATGGGTTGAAACTCGACGAATCACTGGACGACCCTTTCTTCAGGTCGTGCTCAAATAAGCATTAGGAAAAGGGCCACAGGACGAACACTACGGCCATGGTGAGACCCAGTGCCCCACCGACACCGACATCCCACCAGAAATGCATTCGCTCCACAATCCTCGACAGAGACACCGCCACAGCAGAAGCGATCAGCAACGCCACGAGAAGTATGCGGGCCGCTGCTGGTGCCACGGAGTCTCCCCTCCACACGAGATATCCAACGAGGAAGAACCCGACGAAACAACTGACACTGGAATGGCCCGATGGGAAAGAGTCAAAGGCACGTAACACGTCTCTCGGGGGGCCGCTGCAGACATAGTCCGTAATGAGCGGTGGAGCTGTTGTCACAGTTGGAAGAACGGCCCCCATAGAGGCTGCAGATCCACGAAAAGGGAATGGTGGTCCAATTTGTGCATTGAGAAAAAGAAAAAAGAGGGAATGTATTAAAAGGGCAGTTAATACATTATTACTACCAGTTCAAAATTATTCTCTTGCTGCCAAACTAGGATGTGGTATTGCAGGCATGTTTTAGCAGTATAAAATAAGGTGAGCCCAATGAACTAAATACTTGCACTCACAAAATAACTTCCTAGCTAAAATTTCTCAGATTAGTGAAATTGTTTATCCTTTGTACTGAAATTTACCAAATTTCTACGTAACATGGCTCAGTACAACTGGATTGATTGAGTGATTGGTTGATTGATTTGTGGGGTTTAACGTCCCAAAACCACCATATGGGAGACGCCGTAGTGGAGGGCTCCCAAATCTGAGCACCCAAACGTGCACCCAAATCTGAGCACACGGGCCTACAACATTTCCGCCTCCACCGGAAATGCAACCTACCGAGTACCTTAGCCACTAGACCACCGTGGCGGGGCTCAATACAACTCGCTCTTCAAACTCGCTTGTAGGCATGTAGTCAGGCTGATGATGATGGTGATATTAACGAATGAGAAGGCTCCAAATCACTTAATCCCGCAGTCTGAGAACTCTTTCACACTCTACCACATACAAAGTTGGTCAGAGAACCATTTTTTCAGTACAACTCGCTCTTCAAAGTGGTTCTCTGACCAACTATATATGTGGTCGAGTGTGAAAGAGTTCTCCGACTGCGGCATTAGGCGATTTGGAGCCTTCTCATTCGTTAATATCACCATCATCAGCCTGACTACATGCCTACAGCAGGGCAAAGGTTTCTCTACGTTTTGTCAATCCGGTCCTGCATTTGCTTTAACTATGATTGAACTCCGCAAGCTTTTTTAATCTCATATCCCCCTCCTTCACCCCTCCCCAAATGTCTGCTTGCACCTCGTTAGTATCCTTTAAATATGACACCACCGCTGGCAACTCCGACCTTTACACACGCCCACTCACTCACTCATGCATGCACACACACTCACTCACTCACTCATGCATGCACACACACTCATTCACACACACACACACACACACACACACACACACACACACACACACACACACACACACACACACACACACACACACGCGCGCGCGCGCACGCACGCACGCACGCACGCACACACACGCACGCACGCACACACACACCTTGGCACAGGAGGGTGGTGTTGCGCTGGTTCCGGAAGACGGGCTTGCAGGCATCCAAGAAGTAGGGACGCTTCTCGGCGACGGCGTCTTTGAGCAGCTGCGTTGCCGTGGTTACCAGGAGGAGCCCCACCAGGTAGCGACGCAGCATGCGCCCGCTCCAGAAGAAGCGGTCGCGCAGCGGGGCGCCGCTGCGGCGGAACTCCAGCACGAGCAGCATGGCCGGCGGCAAGGTGGCCACGAAGATGGCCAGGTCGCGGGTGCGAACGCTCTCGGCCGAGAAGGGAGACTGCAGGTTCGGATCGTCGCAGCGGAAGGCGGGCCGCCACATACCGGGACTGGAGCCCACCTACGTTAAGAGCCAAGAAAATGAGGCCGTTAACAACAACAACAATTGCTCGGTCTTTATGTTTCACAACTACGTACAATTACGACAAACAGTTATGCAATTTGATGGTTTCATGCTTTATTTTTTGTTAGTTCCTTGTAACCACTCCTACAATGTCGCTAACATGAGACAGCAGTATCTGTAAATAAATAAACAAAATAAATAAATCAATAAATAAATACTACAGCGGAGGCCTCCGAAAATTTCAGCCACTTACGGTTCTTCAAATTTATGTCCACAAGCCACCAGCCTTCTGCCACCATCGAAATTCGGCCACCGCAGCCGGGATTCGATACCGCTACTTTCCCGTCAAGCAATCGAGCATCCTAATTATAACAACGCGACGGGTGTAGTCGTTAGTAAACGGGCTTCCCGTTTCTACACCGAATGCACGCATGTCTGTGTGACGGACCTCGATGAGTACTATCCAAGACCCCACTAGAAAACTGTAGCTTCCCTAAGAAATTTTATTAAAGCACTGGAAGTTGTAATGGAGGCGTTATGCAGCTCTTTAGAAAAAAAAAATAGCGACTAATAAATTATTCCTTGCGAGCTCTGTGTGTTCAACAATCGTAGGTTGAGTAGGAAAAGAGGAAAACGGTGATTTATTTTATTTCTCGCCTAAACCTCAAACCTGAATCCAACGATGACGTCACATATTTCAGCCTCTTATTTTGATTCAATGGGTCGAAGAACTGGCCATGTTAAGTTTATGACTAGCACCGAATAAAATGTAATTATTTTCTCCCATAGAAGACCCTAGCAGCCGTCTGTCAAAATTATGACGTCGCGGCGGGTCGGTGAGAGAACTTCAGGAACGGCGACGCCCTCCGAGTTTTCTTTTCGGATATACAACGACCAGTAGCTGCTCGAGATAAGTCATGTCACGACGAATCTGATCTCTGAAGATATTGTTGGCACTGACCTACGCGTTCGAGTCTGAATTATGCCGATTTGACCCAGAGTGAGCACGGGCACAACGAAAGTGCGTCACTTGGCCCAAAATTGCTGTTTCAATCCGTCAGTACTGCAGGAAAAAAAAAACAGCGCAAAAGAAGGATCCAAGAAAGAGAAGGCACAAACGCCGTTCTAGGGTCATTTTTACGTTTTTTTTTTCTTTGGAGCACAGAGAGAATGACAGTGCCCAACCGTTCACTTCAGCTGTCGTTTTCAGCACAAATACGCGAAGACTGACACCGTGCTAACACGTAACAGTTTATACTGCGATTAGATCCCCGTGCTATAATTCAAGCACGAATGGAAGCCCATAGCTAACGTGAGGTAGCAGCTGCCGACAACAGCGTTGACAGCCACCCGATTCCACTGCTCTAGACAAGTGCGATTCTGCCTGTGCGATGCATTTAAACCTGATTGCCCAGTCTGCCTTCCTAATACGGTTTTCTTTTTGCGTGTTTCCGAGCTTACCAGACTTCTAAACTATCAAGAATGGTGCTTTTTGCATTGTGGAACGTGACTTTGCTAATAAAAGTGAAACACTTTCTGTGCCCCGCCACGGTGGTCTAGTGGCTAAGGTACTCAGCTACTGACCCGCAGGTCGCGGGATCAAATCCCGGCTGCGGCGGCTGCATTTCCGATGGAGGTGGAAATGTTTGTTGTAGGCCCGTGTGCTCAGATTTGGGTGCACGTTAAAGAACCCCGGGTGGTCAAAATCTTCGGAGCCCTCTACTACGGCGTCTCTCCTAATCAAATGGTGGTTTTGGGACGTTAAACCCCACAAATCGATCAATCAATCAATCAATCAACTCTTTCACACTCGACCACATATAAAGTTGGTCAGAGAACCATTTTGAAGAGCGAGTTGTACTGCAAAAATGGTTCTCTGACCAACTTTGTATGTGGTAGAGTGTGAAAGAGTTCTCCGACTGCGGCATTAAGAGATTTGGAGCTTTCTCATTCGTTAATATCACCATCATCATCAGCCTGACTACATGCCTACAAGCGAGTTTGAAGAGCGAGTTGTAGTGAGCCCCGCCACAGTGGTCTAGTGGCTAAGGTAGTCGGTTGCATTTCCGATGAAGGCGGAAATGTAGGCCCGTGTGCTCAGATTTGGGTGCACGTTAAAGAACCCCGAGTGGTGGAAATTTCCGGAGCCCTCCACTACGGCGTCTCTCATAATCATATGGTGGTTTTGGGACGTTAAACCCCCACAAATCAATCAACAATTTTTGTCCTTGAACGTCCTTCAAGAGAATAGCGCGACGAACGGAGCGACTGGCTCACCTGGAAAGCCCCGGAAATGGAGAGGACGACGTAGACTGCGAGCGCGGCCAGCAGGACCTCGGTGGCGAGCTCGACCAGGGTCCTGGCCGGCACCAGGGCGTCGAGGAAGACCACCAGGAGGGAGGCGACCGAGCGGCGGGACTTCTTGGCGCTGCCTGGCAGCGAGGAGACGTCGTCGCTGAGCGCGCTCTCCTCGGCGCCCCCATTCCGGAGCAGCGCCTCGTCGGTCTTGTTCGCCTCGAGCTCCACGACGGTCTGGTTGGACGTCGTCGACGACAGCTCCATGGAAGCGGTTCACCTGCAACACGTCGAAAGAGCCCCCGTTGAACAACGTGGCGAATGCAAGCTATAGGATGACGAAAGAGGTACAAGAGCGGGCAGTTTCGTGAACAGCTTGCATCAGTTTAACTTACAAACCTACACAGTGAACTTAGCACAACAAACCACACCGGCAACCCACACCACTAAGCCATACCACTAACCGACACGCCGTATTATTTGTCAAATCGAATTGATCATCCTTTTAAACCGAGGGAATACCGTCCCAGAACTGGAATTTTTGCAAATTCTTTTTTTTTGTCAGAACAATACATGAGTGGAATGGGCTCACAAGTGTACAAGTGTCTGCTGTAAATGAAAATTTGTTTTTTTTCGAATCTGTAACCCCCCCCCCCCCCCCCCCCCCCCCCCCTGCTATAACGCCTTCGGGCGCTGCAGGTATACTTCGAATAAAGAATAAAGAAAGAACGAATAACTTTCTGCCCGTTTAAGGATTACCGCATCTTAAACTCGTTGCACTGAAGACTTACGCGGTCAACTTACACCGCTAACCTGCAACGTTGACCTGCACCACTAACTTCTTTTTACCCTTGTGGATTTCACCGGAACCATCTGGTGCACTATCAGCGTCAAATGAAACCCGAGCCGCGGCAAGCCTTCACGATGGTATAGTGCGCGCAGTCCACTTATCACCATAGACATGCACGCATATCTGCGCAGAGCTGCCGAACGGGATGCGCGCGCCTGCCAATGGCGATAACTGGACGGTGTGCACTATAACATCGTGAAGGCTTGCCGCTATTACGGTTTCATTCGACGCTGACAAATACATCTAGATTATGGACGTTCTCGGCGTCCCCTCTGAAAACAGGACCTGTGAAGAAGGCATGCGAGCCAGAAAGCTCAATTTCTTATTCTGCCTAATGCACTCGGAACTTAGTATTCAGTTTGAAAACTATTAGCTTACATAGGCTAAGGTTTCTGTTTTACAACAAATAATACTTGTTTTTTTTTACGCTAGTTCGTCATTGTTCTCTTTCAACTTTACCCGGCACCAATTCTTCAACGGCACTTTACTGCATCTAACCACGGACACTGAATACAAAAGAAAAGACTTCCACGTTCTCATTCTGTAGCAGCCATGCCACAGCAGCCTATTTCACGGTATAGCGCAGCTCTTCAAATTGTACCCGATTGAGCAGCCACATTTCGGGAAAACTAGACCACAGCCTTCTTTTTCTCACCACCAAAGACGCGCCGACGAAACATTAATCACAGCGGGTTCACACTTTTCCGCCACCTTGGCTGTCGCCCGATTCAGGGGTGCAGGCAGCACACACACACACACTCAATGACGTTCTCAGGCCTCGAGGACTGTCTGAAAATACCGCTTTTTTTTTTTCTACGTACACTTGCCGCGCCTGCACCGTTTCGCGCACGCAAAGGAGAGGCGGCGACCGTGAATGGAAACCCGCCCTTCCCAAGATCATCCTCGCGGCGGAAAACGGCGAAAGGGCGCTCGCTCTAGAAGCCAGCGGCCCCGACCAAGGTCAGCGTCGCTTTTAGCCGAACCGCCCCTGCCTCGCACACACACAAGCAAAGGCGCCGAGACGACGACGCTCGGCAATTCCGCGCAGCTGGCAGAAAGAAGCACGGGTCCTTTAAAAAAAACTTGCAGGGTGCCATATGCGTATACGACTAAGACGACGAGAGGGCAAAAGTCACATTCATTTCAGTCGATGTATTGATCTTACAACCCCCCTCCTCAACCCGACCAAAAGCCTTCTGCACTTGACGTGGTCTTGAACTGCCTCTGTCCCATAAACAAGTAGATTTAGAGTATGTATAGACTGCGTAAAAATAAAATTAGTCTCTATAGACTGTCTAAATCTGTTTTTAGTCTGTAGATTGCCTAAAAATAAATGTAAGAAGTCTAGACTGTTTAAAAATAGACTGAGAAGGTCCATATATCGAATAAATATAAAGTCTGCAAGTTATCTAAAAATAGATTCCAACAATATATGCTGTCTAGTTCTATTTTTGCAGTCTATGTATTGTCTAAAAGTAAAACAGGTTTAAAATGTGTACAAATTGAATAAATTCAAAAGGTCTGTAGCGCGCATCCTCCGTCCTCTGCCCCGAGCGGCACGCAACGCCTCAGGCGACACTACTGCCAGCAGCACCGACGATGACGATCCTCGTTTAATCCAACTCATCTGGGTCCCAGCGCACGCAGGAAACCCGGGCAACGAAGCCGCCCACAGACAAGCTCGAGGACTCGTATGCCGAGCGGTGGGCCAGACTTCGGACCACGATATCGAAGCAACTGAAGCACTCATCACCTTTCACGACATCACACAGTACTACAAGCTATCAAGGCAAACCAGACCACCCCCGCACCCGGAACTAAACAAAGCTCAACAAATCACTTGGCGGCGGCTTCAAACGAACTCATTCCCTTCCCCGTACATATACAGGCACATATACCCTGCCTTATTCACATCTACGTGCACCCTTTGCAAGACCCAGACCGCAACCTTGGATCACATCATCTGGGGATGCAGCAAGGACCCTCCCCCACCAAACCTCCTAGGACAGTCACCTTCAAGTGAGGCCTGGGAGAGAATCCTCACGACCACAAGCCTGGACACCCAGCTCCGGGCCATCAAACGCGCTGACGAGGTGGCGACCAGGCATGGCCTGACAGCCCTCGCCACTTAGGAAACCGTCAGCTGCCTTAATAAAGTTGTTTACTACTACTACTACTGTAGACCGTAATAGATTTATACAGTCTATAGACTTTAAATCCACTGTTGTAAGGGCCCGCATTCGACCAGGCGACTACGACGTCACTGTTTTATGACGTCAGAGTTTCTGGTATCAATCATGTCGACGACGCCGGACGTCGCCGACGGTCGACTTTCGCGTTGAATAACGCACATAAGGCATCTGTCCTAATAAACGAAGAACGAGGAGCCCAAAGTGCAGGACAGTCTCGTACCAGAGTATACCTTTGATGCTTTCTGCTCGTACGTTGTGCGCCGATAATCGAACCGCGCTCAAGATCGGTTGGACAGCAACATCCCGGCCGGATTAGCGAAGCACACGAAACTACCCTCAATCAAATTTCACAGAAGAGTTCCGTGCAGCGGAGAATCATTCGTGCCGAGGCATCATCATCATCATCATCATCACCACCAGCAGCAGCAGCAGCAGCTTGACTACGTGCACTGCAGGACAGAGGCCTCTCCCATGTTCCGCCAGTTAACCCGGTCTTGTGCTTGCTGCTGATTTGTGGGGTTTAACGTCCCAAAACCACCATATGATTATGAGAGACGCCGTAGTGGAGGGCTCCGGAAATTTCGACCACCTGGGGTTCTTTAACGTGCACCCAAATCTGAGTACACGGGCCTACAACATTTCTGCCTCCATCGGAAATGCAGCCGCCACAGCCGGGATTTGATCCCGCAACCTGCGGGTCAGCAGCCGAGTACCTTAGCCACTAGACCACCGTGGCGGGGCTTGTGCTTGCTGCTGCCAATGCTGCCGATGCACCAGAACTCAACACGTCACTACGTCACGCCATTCCCAGGAGACAGCGAAATAAAACGTTTACTATGTTTTCTGCGCGAGTAGATAGGTGAGCGGAACCCTTAAGGCAAAGATGCCTTGGCGTGGGCCACTGTCCTCACACGTGTCACGAAGGCCGAGTCATACGCGCGACTTTCAAGAAGCCTATCTCTGAACCTTCCCCCGTGGACACTGCACGGAACGTCTGCTTCAAATGGGGACTCCACAATAACGTATCTGAACTATTTAATTCCATGCACACAACACGAGTCAAGTAATTCCCACGAATCGGGTACATCATGACGTGGCGCCATTCCTGGGCGGCAGGAACGGCAGCCTGACTTAACTGAATGGAAAATAGTTGAGAAAAATTATAACTTGAAAAAAATTTTAAAAACGACTCCAGGTTTTATGTAGCAGAGACCCACAGGTGCGTTTGGGTAAAATTTCAGTATCGCGCTACTACAAGTGTGTGATTTCAAAGGGCAATTGAACACCACCCTTAGAAACACACACGAGACTGTTAAACACTGTGGAAAGCCACTCTGTACTGCGGCACTGTAACATTGCCATACTGTTCGAACAAGTCTCTGCTCTAGAAAACCGGGAGTCATTTTTGATAACTATAGCTTATTCCGTGAGATTTTTTTTCCCCCTTCAATCAGTTACGGCCGGCCACGGCTGGAGCCGACAACATGAGACGCTACGGCAAACTCTTCGCGACATCGAATGTTGGTGCATAACGTGGGACATGGAATTAAACGTAGATAAAAACGGTGCTTCTTGAATATAAGGCGAAAAACAAACGCCAGTGTATTTACCTACAATATACACGGTTCTCCCGTTGAAGGTCACCGTTTCGAGTGACGTGACGTGGCGGGCACACATTTCTGCACTTCCGCATTTCGAAAACTGTTTCTTAAAAAGGAAGCTCGCAAAAGGCTGCTGTGGATGTTAAACTTCAAGCGTATATGCTATTATCAGACCTAAATTGGAGTATGCATCTGTGGTGTGGGATCCATACACACACACACACACACCATAGCCTCCTTTATTTTCTGTGCCCGCGCAGTCAGTCCGCCGGGCCCGTTCGGCCACCTCCCGCATCCTCCTCTCTTTTTGCGTCTGCTGTCCGCCAGGGGCGCTCGCATCCCAGAATCGAGTCGGCGCATTCAGCCGCGGCGACGCATCTCCAGGAAACCTTTGTTCGTGTCGCATACGTTTGCAACACCAATTATTTACGACCAAAACGGTACGTAGTACTTTCAGCAAGTACAATTGTAACTGTTGCTTCATTGTGTTGCGTGAGCAGATGACACGCGGCATTAACTGAGTGCGTATAAACAAACAACGTCGTTTGTACCCCGCGTTTGCACGGCCGTTGTCAAGCGCGGCTATCATTTTTCGCGCTTCTTTCTGGCAATACTTTTCCGCGCACCTATCTTCGCA